AAGTCTTAGCAAATTTGTAAGGAATTTCCAAGCTACTCTCATCCGAGAAATTGCTCATAACATTTTCTTGAGTTATTCTATCGTATTGTACTCAAATGAAAGATGAAATTTAATGTTGAAACAAGTGATTTTCTTATGAATATCATTGACATCAAAGTTTACGTTTTAAGTTTAGATAACCTTGTTTGGATCGATCAAAAACATATATCAATAGTTTTTTTTTAATTGATCTTTAGAACTATTCAATTAGCATAAGCCAATACATTTTCATATATTTATTTAGTTTATTCTTAAGAATTTTGTTTGAAAATATTTAAACTCATTTTAAAAAGAAGAAAAAATTGAGTGATAATAATAATAATATAACATAGAAGTTAACATTATATTTAAAGATATTTATGAAAACGTATATTATTTATTTTTCAAAATAAATCTTTGATTTTATTCAAATACATTTCAATGATCTATTCGATAGTTTTTAGAATACATTTTCAAAGTTAATCTATCAATTTAGCTTTTTGAAGATTGCTAAGATATATTGCTTTTGATTGATCAAACAGTAATTGAATTGACGTTGTTTTTTTTTCATAAGTTAAATAGAATTGTACACATAACAAGTTGATTATTTTTCTATGGGGATTTCTTCAATGCAACCTATGAAAAATATTTATAGATATTCCAAATAAGTTAAAATATATAATTGAAGTCTGATTTTAATTCATAATATAAAATCGCAAGATTTGAAAATAAACATTTACATTTCTATTATTGATATTTAATGTAGAAAAAAAAGTCTATTCAAAAATAAATTTCCTAGAAGTATGAAGCATGAAATTCTTAAATAAATCTCATTAGTCAATTTCTATTTAAGAATATTATGTTTACAGGATATATTTAATGTTGATCTAGTAGAATAGATTTATTCTTACATTGAAGAGATAATTTAATAAAAAACAAAAAAGAATTTTCGTTTGATGAAATGATACCGTCAATAAATACACAAAATATTTATCTTAGATATAAGATTAATGTCGGCATGACTAAACTGATTTTACTATAAAAAAATTATATATTTGTTATCTATACTTTTCTAATGAAATTAATATTGAGTTACACCCCTGGGCAAAAGTCTTTCC